GTCAGAGAGGAAACACCCATTTATCATTAATATGCAGTCACTCACTTGGGAAGAAAATGGCCAATTAGGGTTCATAGCATTTCAATTTGCTTTTGTAGGTCATTCTCAAAGAGAAAGATTATTAGACTCCTTCGTACTTTTATATATACTTGGAAAAAGGAAAAAAATGTGCATATGTACATGCCTTTGCTTAACTATATAATTCCTTGATTTTTGAAATATTAGGATTAAATATTAGGATGTTGAAAGGTATAAGGGAAAATTCAAAACAAATTATAGGCAAAGTTCTTACCAGTTTTTACTTTTAAGTGTTCATAGTCGAAAACGGCAACGCCAGTAGTTTCACTCCCAGTTCCTGTAGTAGTTGGGACTTCAACAAAGTAATATTCATTTTAATAAAGCATCTAAATAAAGGTCCGTGGAAATATTTAATTCAGCCTTAGAAATAAGAACAAAGTTAGAAAAGGAAGTTGGGTTGACTCTCTTGCTTGTCTGACATATGTGTTAATATGTCTGTAAGTCTGACATGTGATAGCTGTGACTGCACTAATAGGCACATGTGAGGTCTGTATCTGTACTAGAATTCATGTTCACTGTGTAGTTGATGTCCATGTCTACATTAATGTCCATGAATGTCTAACATGTATCATAACTGTGTCCACCTCATGAATGTGTATGTGTGTTTAACACGCATGATGTCTGTCTACCATGCTTCTGTATTCGATGTGTATATGTGACCCCTGTATGTATGTTAATATGCATGTATGATGTCCATTAATACACATGCATGTTTAGCACACACATGTATTTGATGTGTACATGCATGATGTCTGTTTCTGCAGAACATGTGTGTTCAATGTGTATGGTGTCTGTATCTGCATGAACATGCATGTGTGATTTCTCTGTGTAAACATGCATGTATGATGTGTATGTCTGTGATAATATATGTGAACGTCAATCATACATCTGTGTGATGTCTATGTCCATATTATCAGCAAGGAGCTCGGGAACCTCAGGCTCCTCTAGGCCAGAACTTAAGCAGCTGCAGCTGGGTATTCAAAGGCGGGCCTCCCAGCACCTCCAGGAGCACCTCTCATACATATCTGCCGTCTCTAAAAGACATCTTTATTCTCTCTTGGCAGCAAGCATAGGAACACTCTGCCATTGCTGAGCTCTGTGGTTTTGTAGTTCTGTCAAGTTTCTAAACTTTACTAATCATCCCTCTGTGTGATGCTGACACAGTTTCACCAGAGGGTTCCATTTGCCAGACGCCAATTATGCTGCTCCCCGCTGCTCCCCATTCAGGGCAAAGCAGCTCATCTGCCAGGGGCTCATCACAGGCTGTTCACAGTGCATGTGGGAGCTGGAGAAGACAAAACTTTGCATTGAGGATACTTCCCAGGTACCAGTTAGTGAATTTTAGCTATAAAACTTTAAATGGTAACATGCTAGCAACCATAAAAATGGGAGAGAAGAATAGAACAGAAAACAACAAGGTTCCCTGTGGAAACAAGTCATCTGTTCTTATTGGATTTCTCTGTCTCTGCCCTGGGCAGCCACACAGCAGATGTCCCAAGAGTGATGTGGCCATGCTGGCCACATGTCCCAGGGTAGAGACAAAGCCTGAGGTCAGTTGAAGAGCCATTATGTGGAAGAAAGGATTGAGTCATTACCAGAAAAATAACAGGCAATGTTCTCCTTAAACTCCACGGTGGCTGGCAAAATAGGACAAAACAGAGGGGTTTAGAGGACAAGCCTGCTGCAGAGGGATCTATCGAATGTAAATGATGACCTCCATCCTCCTCCGTAGGCTTAGATCTGCAAACCTTCCTAGCACTGACACAAATTATCTCTATCAGTATAGTAACAAAGACTAGAATTTTTAAATGAACAAATGGCTATTTATTTTGATCTCCAAACCAGACATTGATTTGAAATAAACAAATGAGAAAGCTTTAGAAACACATATCCTGAAAGGACTGGCTTGCATTTTTCCTAAGGTCTTTTGCCAACTGCAAAATAAAACAAGGAAATAAACAGTCTTTACCTGCAATTAAAGGCTTAAGAGGCACAGACACAGGCTTTCCCTTCCCAATGGGAGCGTTGACATAATCTAGGAAATCAGAGTGAGGGCTGGAGGCATACAGATTAGCAGCTTTACAGGTGTCCATGGTGGAGCCACCACCCACAGCAACGTAGGCATCAAAAGCTCCCTTTTTGGCAAACTCAATAGCTTCCATGAAGCTTGGAGAAGGGAAAATAAAAACCGTTATGTCATATTTTTTGGAAATATATTACCATACCATTAAATAAGGCCTGGGCAAGTTTTAATCCGTAGGGATGTGTGGTGGCTTCTGCATACAATAAAGGAAGACAACAATGCAAGCATACCTCGAATCTGTCGGTTCCACCCTCACATTATCATACACCTGAAAGTGGACGCCATTCTTCACTAGGGAGTCCATAACTACTTGCACAGGAGGGAGCTGGGAGAGGTTCTTGTCTGTCATCAAGCAAACATTTTTAGCACCCATGTTTTGTAGATCCTACAAAAAAGTTATAACTTAGATTTGAGTGTGCTGGAACTGCTATATGCTCTTCTGGGAAAATTTAGCATTGCATATTTATTTATTTATTTTTTATTTTTATTTTTTGAGACAGAGCCTCAAGCTGTCCCCCTGGGTAGAGTGCAGTGGCATCACAGCTCACAGCAACCTCCAACTCTTGGGCTGAAGCGAGTCTCCTGCCTCCGCCTCCCAAGTTGCTGGGACCACAGGCGCCCGCCACAACACCTGGCTATTTTTTTTGGTTGCAGCCATCATTGTTGTTTGGCAGGCCTGGGCTGGATTCGAACCCACCACCTTAGGTGTATGTGGCTGGCGCCTTAGCCACTTGAGACACAGGCACCGAGCCAACATTGCATATTTAAAGAAATAAGGTACTCAAGCTAAGTGTGGTGGCTCATGTCTGTAAACCTAATACTCTGGGAGGCCAAGGTGGGAGGATCCCTTGAGCTCAGGAGTTCAAGACCAGCCTGAGCAAAATCAAGACCTGGTCTCTACTAAAAATAGAGAAATCAATTAGCTGGGATATGTGGAGGATCTGTTGTCCCAGCTACTTGGGAGGCTGAGACAGGAAGATCGCTTGAACCTGGGAGTTTGAGGTTGCTGTGAGATAGGCTGATGCCATGGCACCCTAGCCTGGGTAGCAGAGTGAAATTCTGTCTCAAAAGAACAAAAACAAAAACTGGATTTTTGTTTGTTAACTTGTTTTATAAGACATGTAACATTTACTGTAGGATACTGGAGATGTCTCAAATACTTGCCATGCCCACTTCCTTTGTAACTCCTGCTCCATATCTAATATTTGAAACAGCCATCTGGGGAAAAAAAAAGATTTAGGTGTAGGGTGTATTAATAAAGCCTGAAATAATTCCCCACTGTCTATAGCACTAAGTCCATACTCCTTATCACACTTGGCTCCAGTCACATTGGACTGATTTGTCTCTTCCCAATCACATCAGTTGGTCTCTTAGCTCCAAATGCCTGCCTTTCCTACCTCTCTTCACTCACTCATCCAGCCACCTATCTACCCAAGCATGCATCTGTCTATCCTCCTGCCCAGAGGAGGCTGCTGAGTGTTGGCTACGTTCCAGTCCCAGTGCTAGCCTCGGGTAACACAACTGTGAGTAACAAGCACACCCCTCCTAAAGCTTGCAGGTTAGAGAGGAGCTTTCACATACTGCTTGATGGATCACTTTTGTCAAGAAGACACATTTTGTTAGACCCATCTTATGTTTAAATTTCTTTTTCTGAATTGGCTAACTCTTAAAAATCCGGATGAAAAAATCCAAATGTGGCCATCTGAATTTTGTTCTCTCATGAACCTGGCTTCTGCATTCCCACCAGCTTGCTGCCAGGCGGAGCCATGCCCTCCACGCAGGGCCTGCCCTCAGGGAACTCAGAACCTGCCTCCCAGAATTAATTGTTTCTTTTCTTTTCTTTTTTTTTAGAGACAG